CGAAAATAGATTTCACACTTTTACACATGTTCATTTATAGGAAAGTGTTACCGTAAATCATTGTTAGAACGTTATGGACATTTTCGATACCAGCACTTATCGGATTGATCTTTAACGAACTATTTCTGTGCATACGAACATTGGTACTATTTTATATTATATTGACGAACAAAAAGCGTCTTAGCGCTTATCCAGTTTCGATGGACGGCCGAGTTCTGCCAAAGAACCATTCATTTCGGCTGGTCGGAGTCCAGATCACCGAGGACCTGATCTGGCACGAACACATCTCGTCAATAGCTGCAGCTGCTGGGAAAAAGCTAGGCGATTTGTTTAGGGCTAAGAACTACTTTTCTCCGCATGACCCAGGTAAGGCCTAGCCTCAAGAATTGTTCACACGTTTGGGGTGCTGCCGCCCCGACTACATTATCCATGCTCGATGCTGTCCAGAGGAGGGCTGATCGATGACAGTCTCGGGACTCTTTCGCACCGGCGGGCCGCCGGCGATCTAGCTCTTTTCTATCGCTACACCAAACGGGCTTTGCTCCTCAGAGCTCTCTTCCATGATGCCGCCGCGCGATGTGCCTGCCAGATAGACCAGCCTGACTTTGGCGTCCCATCCTAACCGAGTCGAACTTCGTACATCCACAACTGGTCGATACGACCGCTCCTTTGTCCCGAGGGTGTCGAGATTGTGGAACAATCTACAAGAGGAAGCTTTTCCTAGTTCTACTTACCTCAGCCAGTTCAAAAATCGAATTAACAAAATTTCTTTGGGATCATCATAGCAGCCACGGTGTTCCGGCATTTAAGCTTCTGCCTGCGCGGCTACTTCGATATAAAAAAAATCCAAATGGTGAATGGATCTACTAATATGTAGTACCCTGTGCTGTGGATTCTGTTGGACGGACAAGGGAACTGTGCAACAAGTTGGCAGGTTTTATAACCTACTACCCTTGTTAATTAACTAGAATTAAGAACCTCAATGAAAAAGTTACACTTAACAATGTGAATGGGGTGCACACACAGTATTTTGAATACAATTGTGCATCTAAAACTATTAGCAATAGTGGGTAATTTTAAGAATAGATAGCTGGATTTAAATATTATACAATAATTGTAAAGTCTATATATTTAATATGATGTAAAAAACTGTATACATGTTGAATCTGCTGCTAATAAATAAATAAATAAATTATTTTTGAACAAATACTTCTCAAAAAACTCACTGAGCAAACTGAAAAATGGATAAAAGCTCTAATCGAATGTATTACTAATTAAATAAAACAATATTTTTTCATCGATAAACACTGTTAAACGATAATATAAATTTGCGGCGTGCGCGCTGTCAAGTTCAAGATGATACAGTAGTCACAGTCAGTTAAGCAAAAGAAACGTAGTTTCATCCGCCATTTTTATTCTACAGCTAATTGACAAATATAACAATTAGGTAACACTGCAGTTTCTTTTGAAGGGGTCACCACAAAGTACGTATGGTAAAAGTCCAAAAACGAAAGCAGGGTGTTTTGATAAGCAATTTTATCTCACATAGCTATTGGAATAAGGATGGCTGAGAGGAGTGCCTGTCTCTTTTGGTATTTGAGATATTTCTTCTGCTGTGCGTGCCCCATGCTCAAGCAAACTGTCAAAAGCGCGTAGCTTAAATAATCATTAGGTTTTCAATGAGTGACCACGCGAAATAGGGATTCATTCTTATACAGGGTGTCCCGAAGAAAGTGTGCAATATTCTACCAGCGGTTTCTAGTGCTTAAAATATGAAGAAAAGTTTATATAAACATAGGTCGACAAACGTCTCTTAAGGGCGCTACGGTCTTTTAAAGGGGCTCCCCTGAAGATGGTTTTTCCTTAATATTTCCGAAACTTGTTGAGATAAAGACATAAAATTTGGTATTCTAGCCTAGTTTTTTATGCTGGATTTAAAGATATTAATAATTTTAGACAGTTTTGATTGGAAGCGTATGTAACAGGGACGGACTCAGGTTATTTTAGCCCCAACATTTTTGTGTGATTCTATTTTGAAATTCAATTTTAGAATTTGAAAATTTCGGATTTTCTACATAAACAAGGTACTCTTATTGAATATCGATCAATTGTGCCATTTTTGAATAAAATCAAACTAAAAAATTTGTCACATGATAGGAAATGTACGAGTACTGCGAATTTAAATGAACTGTTGATTATACATAGTTAGCCATGACTGCAAACAAAAGCTGTTTTGATTTGTTATGACTTATTTTGACGTTAAGCTGACATTGTTAGCAGTGTAAAATTACTAGATTAAAATCAAAATGTTTATCAAATCGATTTAAAATGCCAAGATTTACAGACAGAGAACTGACTGACATGCATTTTGTGTACGGGTTTTGCGATGGCAGTTCATTGGCAGCCGTAAGAGAATATCAAAAAAGATTTCCCAATCGCTTAGTACCTGGACGTCGAATGTTTACTGATATTCACCGGAATTTGTCAAACCATGGAAGTTTTCAGCGGATGCAGGGCTCAGAAAGGCCACTGGGAAGTCATCGTATGAATATTGCTTTAAATATGTTTGAAAATAATCCGCAAATAAGCATATGAAATGTTTCAGAAATTATGAATATACATCGATCAATAGTAAGAAAAATTTATGAATATCTATTTGATAGTTATCCTAAAAGAATGACAAGAATGCAAGGATTACATCCTTATCATTTTAAACGGGTGCAGCATTTAACGGAGGCAGATTTTTTACCACGAATCGAGTTTTTCCAGTGGATATTAGCAAATGAAAACACTATTCCTAGAATATTATGGTCGGATGAGTCAATATTTACTAGGAATGGTGCTTTTAATTTCCATAACATGCATCACTGGTCAGATGAAAATCCAAAAGTTGTTCTCCGTACAAATTTCCAACAAAGATTTTCATTGAACTTATGGGCAGGAGTAATTGGGGATCAAGTAATTGGTCCTATTGTACTTCCCAATCGTCTTAATTCAGAGGTGTATCTGAACTTTCTTCAGAATGAGCTCATGGCTATAGTACCATTGGATGTGCGCCTGCAGTTTCAAGAAAATATGTTTTTTCAACATGGTGGCGCCCGTGCACATTTTGGATGCAATGTTCGAAATTGATTGAATGTCAATTTTCCAGTCAGGTGGTTAGGCCGAGGAGGTCCTATAGCGTGGCCGCCACGTTCACCTGACCTAAATCCATTGGATTTCTATTTTTGGGGGTCATTAAAAGTCCTAGTTAACTCGACTAAAGTAAATACTCAAGAAGATTTACTTCAAAGAATCCATCAGGCTGCAAATGAAATAAGAAGATAAAGGTTTTTAAACAAATTTCAATTTCGTTCGTAGAAGAAATTTATTTCTTTTGTTTTTGCCTAAATGTTAGATATGTTGCAATAGAAATATGTATTTATGTAATATTTACCAATTATCAAATTCGTTTTTTCGTTGCCATGGCTAATTATTCAACAATTCATTTAAATTCGCAGTACATTTCCTATCATGTGACAAATTTTTTAGTTTGATTTTATTCAAAAATGTCACAATTTATCAATATTCAATAAGAGTACCTTTTTATGTAGAAAACCCTAAATTTTCAAATTCTAAAATTAAATATCAAAAATAGAAACACCCAAAAATTTTGTGGCTAAAATAACCTGAGTCTGTCCCTGTTACATATGCTTCCAAACAAAACTGTCTAAAATTTTATGTCTTTATCTCAACACGTTTCGAAAATATTAAGGAGAAACCATCTTCAGGGGAGCCCTTTTAAAAGACCGTAGCGCCCTTAGGGGACGTTTGTCGACCTATGTTTATATAAACTTTTCTTACTATTTTAAGCTCTAGAAACCGCTGGTAGAATATTGCACACTTTTTTCGGGACACCCTGTATACAGGGTGTTTCACAACTTATCTGACAAATTTTAACCACATATGCACTGTTACGAAAGAAGTTAATTTCTCAACAAAAATGTAATAAAAGTCCTACAGAAAACGAGATAATAAAATAATACAGTTTAACAGTTTACTTACTTATAAAAGCGTTGAACTAAATGTTTCGTGATGTGGTATGTGCCTATTCGCAAATCGGTGTGCATACAAACAAGAAGCCGCTCGCGAATTTTGCCCTGCTTCTCCGTACGCTAAAACAATGTCTACTAACTCCTCATTAGTGTACACATGTGCCATTTTTATTAATAAAGAACTAAAAACATAAACAAGATACTTTCTTATTTAACTTCACAAATATCGACCGTTCTTCATTCAGATCACCCAGGATACAGATTCAACCTTATTTAGACGTTCTTATCAGTATGGAAAAACAAAAAATTCCTGGTATTTTGTTTTCGTCAGTTGTTTGGTACAACATTTGCCACAATAAATTATTAATACGTGTTCTATTATCACGACGTTGAACGCAAAATACAGATATTTATTTTTCAATTTATTGTTGAAACTCAGGCTTATAACTTAATTTCTGTAGGACTTCGATTACGTTTTTTTTGAGAAATCAACTTGTTTCGTAACAGTGCATATGCGGTTAAAATTTGTCGGATAAGCTATGAAACACCCTGTATATAGATAAATAGCTAATACCTGCAAGAAAGTGCTATGATACTCGCTTGCTTTTTTCTATTTTAACTTTTCAGAAGCATTCAGGAAATTCAATTTACAAATTGTCAGATGCCAATATTTTGGGCAAGTAGTTTCTGCAACACAGCTTTGGGTCTTGGTTTTGAGAAAAAATGCAATCTTGGTATTGGCCTTCTGCTAGCAAAACCAAGACCAAGAGTGGTCTTGTGTCTTGTGAAGCCCTACTCCTATTGGCCAGCGAGCCATGTGCGGAGTAACTGAAGGTTGAACAAACCATAGTAGTTCGTGCGGTACACATTTTAAATACTTCGTTCTCCTCGGCAACCGTATTGTACATGTTGTATTTATAATTCATTAAATAGAGTTACAAATAAATATTTGTCCAATTTTCTCAGGCGTCTGCAACAGCACAAGCTGCCTTGGCAGGGAAACAAATCTTACTGCAAGGACTTGAACAACAACTAAGGGATGCGAAACAGGCACTAATAGGGGAACAGCAGCAGTTGATGCAGGTACAATTGATATATTAAAAAATGCTCAAAATCTCAATAAAAAGTTGTAAATTATTGTTTTTTGATTCCTTGGCTGTGAAGAGAGAGACAACTGCCTCATTTTTTTCAATTTTTGAAAAGCTTAGCTGGTGCGTATTATATTTTTTGTAAAAAATAAGGAAACTTTCCCAGTTACACAAACACACACATCAAACTGTTTAGATAATTGAACAACGAACAGCGGATTAGGTGAACCTTCCTGGAATCGCCAGTGTAACCAAAAATATTCCTAAAAGTCAACAAAAACTCGCCCGTCACCAAGTTAAAAAACAATGGCTTCACGTTGATTGTCGCTGTCATCAGCTCATAATAATTAAATTGTTTACAAACGTCAAAAGAGTACATCTTGGAAAAACAATTAAAATTCAAAAATAATAAACAATAAGACATACACACAAAGCGCAGTATGTGTAATAATTCTGTTTAGATAATATTTGAATGGCCCCTTAGTTCTTCTGAGGAAAAAGTTAGCTACGGACATGGAATTAAATGGAAAAAGGCAGCCAAACAGAGCAATACAGTTAGTATTGAATAGGAACCTCTAAAACGGCAAAAAACGAAGTTCGAGTGATTTTAGTTTTCCATTTTTTGCCTGTAGCTCCTGCTACATTAGATAAATTTTCAAAAACTACAATGCTTTTCCGTGCGTCATCAAAATCCGAGTGGTACTTTCCAAGCTATAGAGGGATTAAGACTTGACGGACAGACAAACATACCAACGGAAATAAGTAACATGGACCTTATACATGTCATGTAACATCCAAACAACATAATATCTCATTTTCCGAATCGCCAAAACATAGCAAAAGTCGCCTATTTGAACTAAAAATATCAAACCTGACAACCCTGGTCTCCCCCACCTCTGAACAGACACAGTGTTGCCATTTGAAGAGGTTTCAATACTTTTCCGCCACTTAATTTCCACACCACGTACATACTTTGCAGGCTCAAAGATCAGCCGACCAAACACAACGTGCTGCCCAAGAAGCAAGACAGCATGTGAACGTTCTTCAAAACACCCTGAACGCTGCTCAAGCCGCTGCGGAGCATGTAGCTCAAGCAGCTTCAGAAGCAGCTGGTGAGTTGGCCGCGCAGCAATCTATGGTAGGCTCAGCGATGCAGCGGGTAGAGCAGCTCACGAAGCAGCTGACCAACGTCAGGATCGACTACGAAGCTACCAGAAATGCTGCGCAGAAGGCACAGGCGGCTGCACAGACGGCAGCTGCGAATGCTGCAGCAGCTGCAGCTGCAGGTAAGCTTATCATAGCCTTCTAGGATCACAATTTATGGACGTTTCTTGAGGAGTGAGTGACGTTTGAGAAACAATATCTCATTCCTTGTGGGGGATTTAACATTTGCATTGTCTTCACAGGTTTACAAGATTTGCATACCAGTAACAATTTTCAGAAATTTCGAAATGATAAATAATGACAATGTTTAATATGTCAAGCTGGGCCTTTTCCAACACCAGAAACGTAAAAAAGAATTTACGAAAAATACCCACCATTCATTTGTTAAGGGATTTCAAGTACTGTCCTGTCACATGTTTTGTTTGTACACACTGCTTGAACTGGTGGCTGTTCGATTCAAAAACACGACTTTGTTTACCTATTCCAAAATTTGGGGATGTCCAGGAAGTACTATTCTGGTTCTCATCGGAACCGATTACCGAAAATACATACAAATTGGTAGGTTTTAGAATTTACCAGTGCATATTGTTAGCAGTATTAATACCTATTGAGGCAGCAATGGGCTAATTGCTCTGCTTTTTTTTATGAAAATAAAAAGGTACCCTTTCACACAAGTTTTGCTAAACTGTATATTGCCTATATGTTTTCTTATTGTATACAACATATACAGAATGGTGAAATGAACACGTATTTCCATTAAAAATTTTAATTTTGGGATACAGTGACAGTAACTTCTTCATATGGTGAGCTTTTTACATTTCCAATGGTTTCTAGTTGCCAAAATTTTATTTTAAACTTATATCAAAAGGCACTAATAGTTATTTATGCATCTGTGGCGTTAAGGTTTGAAAATTAAAAATATGAGGAAAAATTGAGCAACGTGAGCAACGAATATGACAACCTGAAACTATTTTTTGCTATTCAGGGTGTCCCGTAAATTAGTGTCAATATAAACTTGTATCTTTTTAAAACGGTACAACCTGTATTTCTGAGACTTTTAGAATGTCTGTCAGAGATAAGTGTAGTGTTTTTTTTTGTATGTAAGTGTTTAATTACACTTTTCCAGTCAGCGACATATTTTAATTGATAGCAATGCTTTGTTTCATTATAGCACCACTGACGGATATTTTCCTAATAATTCTAAAATTACCGTTGTTACTTCTAAAACATGAAATATTTCAGAAAATACTACATTTGGATTTTAGGCAATGCTTAATAAAACTGCAAGAGCACTATGAGACGCGTTGAATAGAGTTATAATATACAGGGTGTTTGATTAAAATTTTTCAAAAAAATACATCTTTCGGTTTTGACTCACTCTGTATGTCTCGAATGAAATATGTACCGAAAAAACGTTGGATAAGGATGAATACCACTATTTCCATCACTAATAAAACAGATTTTATCTAAAGTGTTGTGTAGAATACGGGAAGTCAAATGTACAATGATTTTAACGAAAAAGTGGCCATATATTCCGAGCGTTCAAGCACCCGAAACCATAAATTGGCAGAATAGTCAAGAAAATTCGCTTCTAAAAATCAACGGAAATTAAAAAAACTAATTTATGCGACACCCTGCATAGCTAAAAATAGAGCTTAGGGTTGTAGCGTTTAGCTCTGCCTACAACTTCTGCAACTCTAATAGTAATGAAGATATTGAGCTTTGATACGCTATTTGGTATAGTGAAGACCGGCTAAATGAGACAGTTGAAGCTGTGAGAAATGTTGGAAAATTGCTTGAAATATATAAACAGTATGGTAGTTCCAGTCGACAGTGCAGGATCCTATTAAAGGAAAAAAAATAATTTCTTGTTAATTTTTATCTAGTTTGTATGTATTTTTGATAAAAATATCCATACTAAACGTACTCAGTTTAAGTGTGTTTAATTTAGTTTCCTCCAAGTCTTAATGACAGCTGACTTGAAATTTCTATTCTACTATCACACATTTTTAAATACGGTTCTGTCTAAAACTGGCCAATCAAATGCTGTCCGACAAACTAAGCGGCCGACTAGTAGAACCTACTGTCCGAGTACTGGCACAATAACACCTTTTTGTTTAATCTTTTTTTTATAAAATTACAGGAATACCGATAAGCAATGTATTTCTTGTCCGCGAAAGGTTAACAACATAAAATATAAATATACGTTCATATTATAATCACCTCCAAAAGCATTAGTTGTGTTATCTTCAACACAAAATTAGTAATTACACTTTACTGATAAATGATTATCTGATAATTTCAAGGCCTAAGGAGATTCTATTTTATTTATTTTTTTGAATAATTCAGGTTTGGCAATATCATGTTATGCATTTTTAACATCAGAATTAAACACTCTATTCATCTGTTCAAAAATCCAATATGGCGTTCATAAGAAAAATAAATTTGATGCTGGATGCGACTTCGTATCGCTTGCTGTTTCCAAGATACCAAACATGAAGGTCGAATTTGAAACACCCGGTAAATGCTGGCAGTGAAAGTCCTAATATATGTACTGGAGGTCTGATGAGTATCACAGGGTCATATATTTTGCTGATAAGCAGCCACCCCAAAGTAGATACCCCGTATAACGATTTTACTGTTTTGAGATAAGCTGATTCTGCACACTACACACTGTAACCAGATTTAAAAAAGTCAACACCCCGTAAAGAAATAAAAGTAAAATAAATTAGCACTTACCATTTTACTGCCATTTCTGTATCGCGGTATCTGCGAAGTCTTCATTCTTCCCGTAATCCAAAGGTGCAAACCAGTACAAAAACTGACCAAACACTTAATCTACATGCCACGAACACACTTTTCCGGGTGCGACCGAGTTTTCCCTTCGAAAACACTGAAAATAACGCTCTCGAAACGAGCCTGTAAAACGCCCACAAAGACTGTTTAAAAACAATCGCAACATTGAACACCAGATAACAGACGTTTTTCTAGGATTTGAAGTTGGCCAAGGGTCGAGCTCAGTTCTGAGAATTCCTCCAGACCTGTCTGTATTAGTCAGGGCAATTTTGGTTACTTTAATTATTAATGTCTGTGATATCAGAGGTACCTAGTGCAGTTACGTAAGTATTATGGCAAAAATATAGATAAATCATATTGTGATATTCTTTGTTTGTAGAATATTCTGTTTCATATTGATTATTTATGCCATCGAAGTCTGCAACAACCGTTGTTCTAAACTGAACTAAAACGACTGCATATACGAAACAAGTTCTTGAATTCTGCCATTTCAGTCGTAGTAGTAATAGTAGTAAGATTTATTTACTCTAAAATACAGGGAACATGAAACGAGTAAATAAATATAATCTATTCATAGAAGGACAATGCCTGTGCATGTATCATATCTATGTTGAATTATTGCAAAAGATAAAAAAAAGAATAGGGAGAGAAAAAAAAATTGGTAAGAATGCTAGCATTTATTGTGTAATATTTGAGATTATTCTATTAATATTATTTCTCCCAATCGTGTTAATGATTTTTTTTTAAACTTAATGTATTGCGTAATTGTTTTGAATTATTTGGTAAATGTTCATACAATTTTGGAGTCAAGTACAGGTGACATCGTTTCATTAAAGATTTGTTTGGTTTAGGAACATTTTTTGCGCGTAATTTATATCTGGTGTTATGCCTATGTTTTTATGTCGCGTTCGATAATAATTTTGTGATAATGAGTGATGGTATGTAAGAAGTAAAATTGTTTAGTATCATATACTTGTGCATCATTTTATGTCATCAGTTGGGTATAATTTTGATTTTTTTTTATACTCCAACCACCATGAAGGCCTAAGGCCTAAACATCCATGGGGTACCGTGGGGCTATAGGGAGATACAGGGGATAGGGGGAACGCCACACGGACTCTGGCGAGGGAACACGTGTGCATGCAACTTACACACATTCTGGCTCCGCCTACGAGATCCGCCGGGTGGTACCTCCGGGTTCGACAGTCAGAGACCGTCTACGACCTACGAACAATCACAACATCCATATATAAACTAGCACTACAGGCCTAGTAGGCCCATGGCTCACAATATAGTTCACTTCCTTCTTCTTGAACCCTACCAACCTGAATGGCACCTCTAATTTTCTCAATTGGAGGATTACAGTCATCTTCCATAGCTTTCAGCAACTATCTTTCCCAATCTAACAATTTAATTGCTTTATTACCAGTTTTTTTAGATGTTTTTTTCAACATTGATTTCATGTTGTTGATTTTTTTAATAAGCCTGTAGTATCAAATGGTTTACCGAGTGTAGATTCATATTTTTTCAACATCTTCTTCAAGGCATCGTCCTTTCCCATGTTTATTTTTGGAACTTGTGACTTTTCCAAAGTAATGGGAACAATGGCAATTTCATCTGCGATGAACTGCCTCATCACTTGAGGATAACATGCTTATTAATTCGATAAAAAACTGTATCCAGTAAAAATACGGAACGGTCTGTGTAAGCTCTGGAGTACAACTGTCAGTGATGTTGAGTGAACGAACTCGCACGTCAACTACAAGCTGGAACAAGTCAGGACATGTCGCTCAAGATACAAATACCAGATAACCTGTCACTTCTTCTTGGAGGATATCCTCGCGAGTATAAGGTAATCATTATGAATATGAAAACAAGAATATGCTTATACAGGGTGGCCCATAAGTCCTTTGAGCTGGAAAAAAAGGAATAAAACCAAACTAGTTACATTATGAAGAATTATTATATTTTGTTATCATCTTTATTGAATGGGAATTATGTTTTAAAAATCACATCGTCTAAATGCAATCCAGTACGATCACGGCACTCATATAAACGACGTCTAAAATTGTCGATCACTGCGCGGCAAGTCAACACTGTAATGCTTGCCATTTCTCTTCGGATATTTTCTTTCAGGACATCAACTGATCGCGGAGTGGTGTCGTACACTTTACTCTTGAGGTAGCCCCATAAAAAGAAGTCCATTGGGGTCAAATCTGGACTACGTGGTGGCCAGGAAATGTCTCCTCTTCGAGAAATTTTTGCTTTTCGCTGGGAAAAAGTTGACAGACGACGGGCATAGAAGTGTTGGAGGTGTGGGCAGTTGCTCCGTCCTGTTGAAACCAGGTCTGCGTATTATAGCCTGGAAAATTCTGCAACGCTGGTGTCAAAAACTCTTCTATCATTGCTACATACCGCTCCGAAGTAACAGTTAATGCGCGACCTCTGTCGTCCTCAAAAAAATAAGGGCCTACGATGCCATGCGCTGACATAGCAGCCCAAACTGTAACTTTAGGGCTGTGTAAGGGCTTCTGATGCTTACGCCTTGGATTTTGGGGGCTCCAATAACTGCAATTTTGTTTATTTACATGCCCGTTTAAATGGAAGTGAGCCTCGTCCGAGAACAACACATTATTGAGCGAAGAAAATCGATTCAACATTTCATTCGCAAAGTTTAGTCTCTGAATAGCGTCATTATCTTTTAATTCCTGCACTAACTGAATTTTGTAAGCGTGCAGACGTAAATCTTTCCTTAAAATCAGCTGTAAAGATGTTTTGGGTACGTTTAGTGCACTGGAACGCTTACGAGTAGACTGGGTAGGATTTTGACGAACAGACTGTGCCACAATGTTGATGTTTTCTTCAATACGAGTTGTCCTTGGTCGACCACACCGCTGTTTATCTAACGTCGAACCAGTCTCTTCAAACTTAGCAACCCAGTTCTTAATCGTTTGAGCTGTTGGACACTTTGTAAAATTGTGTAAATTGTGGTATTCTCGATATTTACGCCGCGCAATGGTTGCCGAATCATTATTTTGATAAAACGCGCGCACACAAAAAGCACGATCCGCTCCAGTGAAACACTCCATGGCGACTGAATTCCCAGACACTGAAGATACTGCCCCCACCTCGCCCGCGCCGCTCACGCTCACCCGTTAAATTTTATTCAAATTTGAAATTTCAAAGGACTTATGGACCACCCTGTACTTTAACCTTTTTCTTCGAAGCAAGACCTTTTACTTTTACCTTATGCTTCCGAGGATATGCTTCTCTTTTATGAATACGGCTCAATATATCGGTTATCTTAAAGCTTTGATATGTTACTAAAACAATTTCTTTAGAACTGTAACACACGCGTCTCTAATAGATATAAATATGTACGTGCGCCGCGATCCAACTGATGGGTTTCTGGGATGAGATGGAAATCGCGAGGTTAGTCACCGGAAGTACATGGGCACCCCTAGGAGCTTTTCTCAAGGGGGAGGGGGCATTCATAGGCAAGAATAAACTTCTTGTGAACGTGTACATGCCTCTAAAGCTTTTTGAGCAAACTATCTCAAGAAGTGCCGAATCGTGAAAATCGCCAAATTTGTACACAAAATCATGCTAAATATACAAACTTTGAATGTATGAGTCTGTTTGGCTGACTTGATCCGTCTAAAAAAAGCTGATTTCATGTAAGTCATTTTATTACAGGCGGTCTTGGAATTACTTTTCGAATGCACCCGGGTGATTACCATATAGATATACTCTAGTTGATATTGATTGTAATGTATTTTTTTTCTCCCTATATGAAGCGGCGGCGGGATTTGCAAAGAACGCAGCAAAACAGCCTCTTCCCCCACCCCCACCCAAGCCTCAGCCCCCAAAGGAACACGAGAAACCCAAGCCACCTCCGAAGGAACCACCGAAGGGCGACGATGGACATGGGGAGAAGAAAGACGATTACACGGATGGTTCACCCAACGACAACTCTTTTTATCACCCTCTGTACTATGGAGAAAATTAAAGGAAAACATCAGTTCTATCGTTGGCCTGTTTGCTCTTGCTTCATAAAAGAGACTTGAACTGTTTTGTTAGTTTTGTATACATTCTTGAGGTGTTAAAAACGCTCCAACGCATTGTACGCCACTGGATGCAAAGTAGGGATGTGACATTGAGTGAAAACAATCGATTACTTAAAAAATAATTCTTTTTCTGTTAAATATAAATCGATTTCTGAAAAATGGGTTTATAAAAATCGTTTTTAGAAAAAACTTAAGCTAATGAAGTAATAAACTATGATTGGTGAATATCGAATTATATTCATCATTATACAGGGTGACACAAGCTTTCCCCCTTTTATTACATATCAACTCTGATAATTCGCCAGTTTGCCACTTTTAGTTTCTACTCTATAGACTGGTTGATTGTTCTGTCAAATGCTTTACACCGTGGTTATAGTCCAGGCCATATGGAAAAAAGGTTAAAAAAATTAGCATATATCTGAAAGTTTTAAATGGAAGAGGGGGTCTTTCTTATTATAAATATATAAAAATTTACAGCTAGATATGCGTTGTTTTTTATAAGCAATGGGAAAATCCCAAAATTCAGTATTTTGTTTGTATAATTTTCAAATCAAGTCTTATAAATAATCGGAGATTTTAGAGCATATAAATACGTTCAACTCTGTTTTTTAGGAATCAAAATCGATGAACAATTGAGCTAAATACGGGGATTTGTAGCAATATTGAATAAATGTTTATAACTATTACAATAACAAATGTTTATAACTATTACAATAACAATTATAAATTGTTAAAAATTTGTAAGAATCAGGTGTTAATATGTATGCTAAATTTCAACTGGATCGGTTTAATAGTTTATGCAAAAAGCTAATTGTTTATCCCAGAGGGGAATTATTTAAACAACTGTTATTGCCGAAGATATGGCTCTAGAACATTTTATAATAGTGAATTTCTTAAATGTTTTAACTACAAGAAATTATGCAAAAAATTAATTATTTACTTCAAAATTGTTGTGAAAAATGATGTTAAGAAATAACCATTTTTATAGTTATAAACATTTACAATAATTCCGTTATTTTTAAATGTATTTATTTATTTTAACAAGCTGTTCTGGCCAGGTGGTTAAACAATGTACGGAAACTTTGGAATGGTAGTGTATGTGGAGTTATCTTGGATCAGCATGAAGTGTAATCGCAATTTATCGTTCTAGCATATAATTTTTGTACCTTACGATAAATACAGGCAATAAAGATACGGCTTTTTTTAAAAATGTGGTTTATTTTTTGCAATCGTACGTTATACATACAGCTTCGTAACTGTAAATGAATCAACATATAATAAATATATAATTTCATTTCAACAACTGTAAAAAAGTGAACGAAAAGTCACATACAAATATATAAAACTGATATTTTGCGTCGATACACGTATACGGATAACATTTCTAATGCGAGCATCAGGATTAAAATCAATGTGATATGGTAAAAGAAACGTAAATAGTTATATAGTTGAGCACAACTTCATTAGTATTTGAACGACTGATGACAATGACAGGATAATAATATATAGTTGTATGTTTGAATCTACATTAATCAATTAGGTACACGTCTCTGCAATGTTATCCTAAGGATGGGCGATGGGTATGATCTACTTCTATTTGGTCGCTTCATACGATTGTCCCTTTCATTCAAAACAATGCTAACGTATGTATGTTGAAAAGCAGTGACTTCTAGCGTTACTTTAGCAGCAAAATCATTTTGACCATGAATCTACATTTGAAGACGTATCAGTATTGACTAGTGGAACATTCACATTATATTTATACGTTTAAGCACGCGTCGTACGTCACAGTGAATGCGATGGGTATCGTTCATACGTACACAAAGATACACTGCGTTAGCAGTGGCGTACGATACAGTACTTGACTATAAAAACACCTTCTTCGCAATACAATTACCAAAATAGGCATGAGCACTGGATCGTCAACGTTTTAGGACCTTAATGGTCAAATAGTTTAACACCCGAGCTCCTGTCTAATCATTTTGAGATGGCGTAAGTGACATTTGAATACAGTACTGACGGTGCGGCTATAGATAAAGAATGCTTCCATATCTGGCCAATACGTCAACTTCTTCATTCGATATAAATGCCCAAATAATACATTTTTTATTATTAAAATTGTATTAAATGCTATAAGATTGATCAAACGACTGTATTATAATTATTTGGTTAGAGTTCCGTTTAACCACAAGTAGTATTTATGTTGGTTTAAAAAATTTAAAAAACTCTCATAAAAATCAGTATAAATACTTGATATAAAAGTAGAGCATTGGACGACTTGTACTCGGTAAAGGGTATAAAAACATCAGGTCAGCAAGTATAAAAATATACACCCGCTAAAAAGTTGCATCGAACAAGAGCTTCGGAAAATTTGGGACAGAATTCAAAAGGATTTTCTTCAATTATGCGAAAAGTTGGGAACTCTCGAAACTGAAGATACTACAGACCAAAATATGTGAATTGACCTAACCATACCTCAGTCCAAAAGTTGATAGTTTGCGAGATACAGGGTGTCAAAGTTACAATTTTATTTTCTATTTTTCCTTATTGCTTATTTTGGCATAAAACTCGGTTTAGGGAGGTATTCCATTATGAGAAACAATAGTCAGTTATTTTTTATGGCCAAACTTCTAGAGGGCGCCACGTACAGAACTATTTCAGTAAATAACTTATCATAAGTTTTTTGTGCTACCCTGTATACAACAACTGACCAAAACATCTTATTATCTCGTATTTCCACAACAAAAAAGGTTTTACTTGTTAGGAGTATCTAAATCTAATAGTTTTCGAGATATTTGTTTTTAGAGGTTCCAATGCATTATTTGTACCATGATGATAAAACATTTTGATGACATATGTGTAATAATCAAGCTGCTTTGTATAAAATTATTCATGAAGTTCAAAACGCTACTCAGATATCCAAAGCAACTTGATTATTATGTTAAAAAATGTTTCATCATCATGGTAAAAATAATGCATTGGAACTTTTAAAATCAAATATCTCGAAAACTATTAGCTTTTGATACTTCTAACAAATGAACCTTTTTTGTTGTGGAAATACGAAAAAATACGATTTTTCGGTCAATTGTTGTATACAGGGTAGCACAAAAAAATTATCATAAGTTATTTATTGAAATAGTGCTGTAAGTGGTGCCCTCTAGAAGTTTGGCCATAAAAAATAACGGATTCTTGTTTCTCATACTAGGAAACCTACCTATAGCAAGTTTTATGTTAAAATCTATAATACTTCTCAAGCAATAATGAAAAATAGAAAATAAAATTGTAACTTTGACACCCTGTATCTCGCAAACTATCAACTTTTGGACTGGGATATGTTTAGGTCAATTCACATATTTCGATCTGTAGTATCTCCATTTTCGAGATTTCCCAACCTTTCGCAGATATAATGCTAAATTATTGCATCAAATATTGCTACTGGCAACTATAGCCAACCGAGCTCCTAATGAATGAATTTGCTAATTTTCTTCAGCATTTTACGAATCGCAATGGAAGTGATAGAAGAAGAATAGGTCTTATTTGAGAACGTTTAAAAGTCAGTTCTACGCGGGTACGTCAATACGACGTACTGCGATAACAAAGCTATAACCAATAAATGTTTGATAAAAAGAATTAGGAAGACATGCAAGAAGCATTTCCGAAGCTCATTGAGGGACTATATTTGCAGGCGTGAGTTGAGGATATTTGAAATAACAGAGTGCCAAACAACGACAACGAGTGACAGATGAAAGTTTCAGTGACAGCCGTGTACAGGGCGTCCACACGACAATCCAGGCCAAAAATATCGCTCCGAAACTACTCAGTAAACTGATAAGATCTGAGGTATCCACTTGAGGAGTTGGTGAATTGCATTTTTTCTTGTCTTGTATCGTCTGAGAGGCTCCGAGTATATCACGGCAATTGACACTGCATCTTGGTACAACTAATAGTTACCTCATACTTGTACGCAATAAGAAAATCAACTATATGATTTATTCGTATACAGTGCATTTCTTACTTATTTTTTAAACGGGTCAAGTTAGCTGAAACTTGGTGTAATAAAATTGACGCGTGAATACTATATTTTAGCGTAAAAGAGGCAGTTGAAAAAACCTTAAGATGGCGGCGGGGGCTACTTTTAAATAATATATATACAGGGTGTCCGGTAAATAGTACGACAAAAAATAGGGATGATAGGCAAAGGGCAGATCTACAACATACCAAGAAATCACCCTAGTAAAAGTTCCACTGTTTTTGAGATATTAATTTTTTTGTCTCTCTTTTTTTAATCTATCTTTTGTTGCTGTGCCTAGAAATAACAGGATATCTGTTTGTTTTTTTTGCAAAATATTATAGTTGGTCTGCAATTTGAAATATCATTTTCGATAAATACAAGTAGGTAATTTCTTCTTCGTAATTTTTATTTTAGAAAACTATTTTACTCAACTTTGCCATTCAGCAATGAAATAAAAATGAACTAGACTGCTACTGCAATAAATTATCTGCTTAATCACCAACAAAGCATACATGAAACGAGGAAATCTTTCAAAAAAGACAAAAAAATAATATCTTAAAAACAATGAAACTTTTACTAGCGTGATTTTTAGGTGTCTTCCCTATTTTTTTGTCGTACTATTTATATATATATATATATAAATATAATAAATTAAAAAGGGGGTCTTGTGATACCTCATTCTGAAGGTCTTTATTAGTGTTTTATACTACCATCTTTGAAAATTTCGTTTATGTACATTAAATTGCTGCAATAAATTGCATCAACCAACCTTTGAAATGTCATAGTATGTTGTATCAAAATTTTCGTCTTCGAAGGGTCTAACCGAATATGCGATGAAATTTGAAACACTCAAAATCTGTCAATTTTTTTGAACTAAATGTCTAATTTTGTATTGCACAATCAGATAGACTCTTCCAAAAGAAACGAATTCATAGTACATACTATAAGATTTCGATGACTAGTTTAGTTATAAGCGATTCAGTATTGAAAAGTGATCAACTTTGCCAGCTTTCAAGTCCGCCATTTTGATAAGTAGCAAATTTATATGTAAAAATAAAAAACGCAAATTTTTGCTGTTCAATTCTTCAAAAGTGAATGTAGTTTGCGATATAAAAACAAATGATAGAAATATTTTGTTTATTCGAATGTCACCATATGATTTATATTTTCTGCTTTCAAAGATAACTTCATATCCAAGTGTGATACAGACTATAGACTGTGTGTTCCTTCTGATTAGATTGGCAATATTAGGGTGGAAGAATAGCTCACGCTAAACCTCGCCCCTCGTAATGTACTAAATGTTTGGTGCAATAAATACCCTTTAATATTATTATTATTATTATTATTATTAGATGCTATACCATTCCAAGCATCTTGTTTTCTTGTTTTTATGTGATAGAAGCTATGTTTTGGATCCCATAATTCTGGTTTGGTCTTATTTCTTTGAGTCCACACCAAACACGCACTGCATTTGATACGTTTACAAACGTTTATAACCATTTTGCGCGTCCGGTGAGTGGGCGCCTTAAGGATCTTCAAATTGAGATACTTGACGACCTCTAATTCTATTTAAATATGGTACCCAGCCTCCATCTTGGAGCTTTCAACTGTTATCTTTGCGAAGAGTATATTATTC